TATGCAGAAATAGAAGTATAATGATGTACACCTGAAATTTATACAATGTTATAAACCAATGTTACTGCAATAAACAAAAAATTAAAAAAAAAATGGTTAAGATGGTAAATTTTGTGTTGTGTGTATTTTACCACAATTAAAAAATAAATATTTGAAAAAGGATAAAAAAATATTTGACTAACAAAGAGACTGTACCTTGCACTTTAACTGTGGCTGATGTCGATGTGGTGCCGTGGTCATTTGTGGCTATGCAGGTATAAATCCCGCTGTCTTGGGGCATCAGATTGCAGATCTTCAAGGTGATTTCCCCAGAATCACTAGGGACATGAAAAGGAAGTCCTTCAAACTATAGTAATAAGACAATTGACTGGTAAAGGGTTCACACCTGGTGTGCGGGCTGAGGAGGCCTCAGCCCCTAGGTCTAGTCCCAGGTCTGTTACCTTCCTGTGCACCTTGGGTGATGGCCTTGCCTTTACATCCCCAATTCCTTACAGAGGAAAGAGATTCTTGCATGCCCATCTCTCAAGTTTGTTGTAAAGGAGTAAAGTGAGAGAAGAATTAGGACATGGTTTGAAATATATCAAGTTTGAGACGGGTCTTGGTCCACGACATCACTAGTATTATTACCACCAGCAACTTCGTCCTAAAATATTTTCAGTCTCACAGATCAATAATGAATGGGACAAGAAAATGGAAAGACTGAAAGTGTTCAAGTATTTCAAATTCTACATGTGGGACCCTCAAAATAATTAAGTGAATTAAGTAAAGGGCAAATTCCTCCACTAAATGATAACTTGCCCAATAATCCCAGTCTGGGCCAGGACGTCACAAGGGAAGAAGTGCTCTGAAAGGGTTCAATGCAGAAGTCACAGCTCCACTCCCTCCCCGCCGGTTGTGACCTATCCTGGTGATCTTCATGATTCTCACCAAGCACTGACTCTCACACTCAGCTCCTTGAGTCCACTGATATTTTAGGACCTGGCCACAGAGTCTCTGCTGGGAATACCAATTCACACGCACAAAGGTTAAGTTAATGGATGAAAGTGTCTTGATCCTAAGTGTTTCTTCCATAAATGTTTCTTTTTTTTTTTTTTTTTTGGTGGGGGGGGTCAGCCCTGAGCTAACATCCGTGCTAATCCTCCTCTTTTTTTTTTTTTGCTGAGGAAGACCGGCTCTGAGCTAACATCTATTGCCAATCCTCCTCCTTTTTTTTTTACCCCCCCAAAGCCCCAGTAGATAGTTGTATGTCGTAGTTTCACATCCTTCTAGTTGCTGTATGTGGGACTCGGCCTCAGCATGGCCGGAGAAGCGGTGCGTCGGTGCGTGCCCGGGATCCGAACCCGGGCCGCCAGTAGCGGAGCGCAAGCACTTAACCCCTAAGCCACGGGGCCGGCCCCTCTTCCATAAATGTTTCTTGAGCATTTAGGGCTTGTCCACTGTAAGCAGTAGTACACGGTAAAGTTCATAGTTAGTAGCAATAAAAATCAACAGAACGATTGGGAGGCAGTCAACTAGGTTTTCTTAGACAGCCTTTTTGTGTACAAGCGTGCTTGTGGCTGGATTTTCTGTTTTCTATTGCACACTTTGGAGTGAGTCATTTTTTTCCTTCTAAGAAAATTGTTCTTAGGTTACTAGAGGAATCAAATATATCACTGTTTCACAGGACCCTGAGGGGCACAAAAAACACTTGGATGTCTAGATGTGAGGACCACACTCCTACGTCAGGAGCCTTTGCCACTTCTCCTGACGTAGAGATTCCCTTCAGGATCCTTAGGGAAAGATCAATTAACGGGGTGAATGAAAGGCAGTGACTGTCAAAGCTCTTCAAAAGTATGGTTCAGGCTTGACCTGAGATATAAAGGTTTATGTTTTTATTTGTGTAATGCAGGTCCAGAATGCAGTCTTCCCAAACTGTTCTTGTTGGTTCCACGTATGTCTCCATGATGCTGAGCAACATGTGAAAATGTGCTGGCCATGACCCCAGATGTCCATCAGGCTGAGTGGCAGGTTGTAGTGAGTGGCTGAGGCTGTGCTAAAGCTCACAGCCCCAAGTACACTGTCGTGTGCATGCACTACTGTGAGTGTACACTACCGTGAGCCACCTGTGGTTTCTGAATCAATCACTCTCCTAATCAAGGCCAAGTGTTTGCACTAGAATAGGCTCCAGGCAGCTCTTCTCTCGGAGAGATTAAGAACAGAAGCTGCATCCCAGACTTAGCCTCTGGGTGCTGCACCAAGGTGCTGGGGGTGCTAATGGGAGGCGATCAGCTTACCAGGAGGAGACGGTGTATGTGGCTGAGCTGTTGTCAGTGTCAAGGATGTTCTGGTCTGGACCCTTCCAGGTGATGGTGGGCTTCGGCCTCCCACAGACTTTGCACTGCAGTGTCACTGTGTCTCCAAGCAAGCAGGTCACATCCACTAAGGGCACAAGGAATTCTGGGGCCACTGTGGTCAAATTGACATAAATTTGCATCGAGAACAAACTTAGAATAAAACAGCCATTTTATAACACAACATTCTCATTCCCCACCCATGGTGTATAATGATTCCAATAACCTTCAGCTTAACACTGTTGTCATCTGTGCCCCATGAAAAAGTATTTTAAAAGTAATAAATGTTTATTGTAGAAAAATTAGGAAATAGATACACAAAGAAAAGGAAAAGTTCCATGACGTCATGATCCAGAGGTAACTACTCTGAACATTCTGGTATATATATATATATATATATATATATATATATCCTTTCAGGCTTTATGTAAACACACTTTCTCTTACAAAAAATTGGATCCCATCATACATATTGCAAGTTGTGGTCTTTTTCACCCTCTCAGTTGATCATCAACACCTCTCCTTCTCCGTCAGTACAGACCTCTGGCACCACTGTTTAAAGGTTCTCCTTCCGGGCCGTATTTGCCGTAAGTTATTTAACCAACCCCATGTTCTAAATTCTATCATTTTTTAACTCACCTTCTTGGATGAAATTTGGATTTAAGATCTGAAAAACACAAAGAAACAGAAAATTGCTTAAATCCTAAACTACTAAAAGAGAACAGGAGACTTTTACCCTATTGAGTAAAAAGAAAGTGCAATTTAGGGAGCTGAAGCCGGGAGCCCAGCCTCTGGGGTTTGTGACCGGGTCACTATAAAGTAAGGGCACCCGGCTGACTTTCCTGTCTGGTTGTTCACACCCCTCTGGGCGGCCGGGGAGGCAGGTTTACGTGACTGTGAGTTCTGCTGGCTGCAGCTGGCCTTTCTGTCCTCCATCGCCTCAGCTGCTCTCCCCTCCGTGCCATATGCACAAAAACCCATTCTCCACCCACCCCCATTCAATATGTACTCGAGCAACGTGATGGCACTGAGTCTTCCCAGCGTCATGAATTTTCAAAAAGAGGATCCAACTCCTATCAAACTGGACAGACAATGGACATTAACTAGCCCAGTGGTTTCCTTCCAAATGTACCCTTTCCCTCTAGGCAGGGAAACTTCTCTTCAAGCAGCTAAATTCAGAGCTTGTCTGGTTGAAGGAGAAAGAGAGAAGTCCCAGCCATCCATCCTGTCCCCAGCACGGCCTCCTGCAGCCCAGGCCTCTGTAGGGCAACTTGAAAACCACTGACCTAACGGTTCTAGCCCTTTTGGCTGCTTAGGTAAGAAAATGGAGACTTCCGGCCAACTAAGTGACTTGTGTGGTCACGGGGCCCGTTGGCAGAGGCACTGCTGGAGCTCTCTGCACATCCCGTGCTGATGCCTCATGACACCGTGGATCTTCACAGAAGGGAAAGCCTTCCAGCTGACTAGCCATGCTGGAGATACCCCTTTTCAAGAGGATGGTCACCTTGATTTCCCCCCATCTTTTGTATTACCTCTTATCACATAAGTCCGGGTCAGAAAGTCTGGTGGGGTGAACAAAACATGGGCTTCAGAGTCAGGCTGGGGCTCACCTCTTTTGTTTGATGTGATTTTACGATACTTAAAATTTACTAGCATCAATTTTCTCCAGTATAAAATGTGGATAAATAATAACTAGTGCAAAGTGTTATCACAAAGATTAAATGAAATAATGTACGTCAAGTGCTTAGCACAACACTTGACAAATAACAAGTCTTCAATGACGAAATAAAGATGATCGAATTCCAAATGTACCCTTTCCCTTCTGCTAAGCAGCCTGTTGTTACAGTGGCTTATCTCTAACAGTTCATCTTGCAGAATTCTTCTTTCCTTCATAATGAAGCCAGAAAGCTCAAGTGCCTTACGAAGAGCCCACGGGCATTCACACTTATCTCCCTGTATTGACCTGTGTTGTATGTGAACATGGTTTCTGTGTGTTTTCCCCTTATCCAGAGATCCCTATGAGCCCTTTGGAACAAAGATGCTATTTCCTCCTTTGGGTTCCCCTTTGCAAACCAATTGCCCAAGTATACCACCCAGGTTTTTCACAAAGTGGGCTGCAGAAAACTCTTGCAATGCCAAGTCCTGGAGCTGAGTGTCTCCAGACAGACCACTGCAGTGCCCTTTGCTAGTCTCAAAAGGCCACTCACACCACTGCTCAGCCTTCCTTTAAATCGGTGACTCTCAATCCTTGACCTAGGCAGCCTTAAAAACATAAAAAGACCAATGCCTGGGCCTCATGGGTGAAGTGGGGCCCGGCATCAGGAGTTTTGAAAGCTGCCTCAGGTGAATCAACACACAGCCTGGTTTGGGGAGAGCTGTTGAAAGTCCCTCCATCCAAGGGAACTAATCTCAGTTAAACCAGCTTCCTGCCATTGAGGCATTTGGGGGGCTGGGGAGAGGGGCAGAGTGTGTGTGTGGGGGCATATGGTGGAAGCTACTGCTTTTCCCACACCTAAGAGACCCCCCTCTATGTGAGGCAGCACTGGGCCATGATGGGGGCCTACCAGTAACCATGGTGGGCAGTACCACATCACCTGTAGGGGGTGCTAAGGAGGCTGTGAATTTACCCACCTGGCTTAGGTGAGGCAGGGAGAATGACATCCAAACCAGTCATTTCACAGTCAAAGAAAAGGAGACTAAGAATATTTTCTAAACTTTAACAGTGGTTATCCCAGGCGGTGAATACACCCATTCAAAAAAGATTATCTTCTCCAGGCCACTGTAAGGTTCTGTGGATACAGAGATGCTAAGACATAGGCCCTGCCCTCAGGATTTATAAAACATTGTCTGAATTTGGGGTGATTTTTTTTTCTCCTCTTACCTGGTTTTCTAAATATTCTGCAATCAGTATGCTTCACGCTTGTAATTTTTTTTAAGGAAAAAAGGCGTAGTCAGAGCTGTTATAAGTAGGTTCTTCAACGACAGGAACCACTTATTGATCTTTGTACCTCAGGCCCCTAGCCCGGGGTCCGCTGCACAATGGCCATTTAATTCGTTGGTTGAATGAATATTTGACTTTTGTCCTCATTCCAGTTCTCCCAAGAATTGAGGACTGGTTCATAAAGAGAATCTGGAAATAGGACCAAAAGATCTATAAAATAATTACTTCTGGGTATATTACCAATAATCTTTGACTAGAGCATATTTTCAAACACAAATGGAATGCAAACTTCTTGGAAAATGATTAAAAAACAATAAACTCCATTGCTTCTGAGAGAGGAGGTTCCTAGTGGCCTGCTGTGCAGGAAGGAATGTAAACTCGGAGCAGACAGAGCACGTCGTGTTCAGACCCTAAGCCCAACAGGCTCTCTTGCCTTGGACAACATTCTTAAGCAGCTTAGGCCTCAGTTTGATCTGTAAACTGGGGATACTAATGCCCACCTGGAAGGCTGTTTGACGTAAGGACTCATTTATTTGATGAAGCTTTGCTGGGCTGACCCTTGATTAGGAGGGTGGCCAGCAGGGAGCAAGGCAGACATGCTCACTACTCTCAGTGGGCCAATAGGCGAGTGGGGAAAACGGAATGAAACGCCACCTGTCCAGTGTCCAGGACGGTGTCTGCTGATGCTAATGACCAGCCTTCCACAAACCTGAAGCACTGCCCTCTCCCCCGTCCCCCTCCACTCCGTCAGAAGGACTCTAGGGTAAAAATGGCTTGGGAATGCTGCCAACTTTGTTCAGTGGCCTGTACTTCCCATCCTGATGGGAATCCACAAGGGACCAAGACAGTGAGTCCACGCCAGGAGTGTCAGAGAGGAGACAAACGACACATGGCAGGTTCCTATGGTATGAAATTGTAAGGGGGGTTTCATAAACCTGCACTGCAGCAGGACATGTATAAAACAACCCCCTAAACTGCAGCTTAGAGAATTTCTTGCCTTATTTCTCTTTCTCATCACAACCCCAATTGTGTTAACATGCACTGTTTTTAAAAAGCAAATCTTCCTATTTGGGTGTAGACTTGAGCGGGGAAGTTGGAGAGAAAGGTTGCCAATAAGGCTGGATTGCAGGGTCTCTATCTGGAAGGGGCTTGTGGAAGGCATCAGTCTCCATTCCTCTGCCACTTGGCCGGCCCAGGTGTTGCTGAAAATGGTGATTATGTCACTGATGTGTGTAGCCTTATAGACTTGGCATGAACTACTCACAAGCCACTTCATTTGCAGCTCCAAAACCCTGGGAGGAAGTGCTGAGCAGGTGTTATTGATTCCCATTTCCAGATGAGATAGGAAAGTAAGTCTAAGATCACAGAGACAGGACTGGCTTGGAGTGAACTTTCCACCCTAGCATCCAGTTCACAGGCAGGGGCCTGGGAAAGGCGTTGTGAAACGTTGTCATCAATGTCAAAGGCCTACCTGCTTACCTTTGCTCCCCAACCTTGCTCTCCAGCCCATCTCTACCTAGTCCTCTTCTTTAAACTCCTCTAATAAGGACCAAGAGCCTGGGCAAAGTCCATACTAATACTCTTTCTAACTTTGATTCTGGATGATACCCATAGAAGATTCCTCCCGCATTTTTCCTCTTTCTACTTCGAAGCAAATCAGAGTATGGACTGGAGAAGGGTCATGACAGCCTTCTCACACTGTCATGTGATAACCTATGTGTTTGTCTATGGCTCCCTATGGACTACAAGGCCTATGCAGGCAAGGACCACATTTTGTTCACTGTTATTGCCTCAGAGCCTAACAACGCCTGGCACATAAGAGCTCCACGGATATTTGTCAAATCAATGAAAACTTAAAGTAGTAGGATCCTAATTTGGGGGAGGAGAGTTGAGAAAATGTCTCGCCATGATCCTGGAGTGTTTTCCTACTTCCATTAATCGGGAATGTGACTTGCTCTGGAATCTCATTGGTCAGTCTGTGTCTGCGATTTAGCCAATAGCGAACTTTTCCTCCTCCTCGCCCCTCCAGAGGCTGGTACCTACAGCTCTGATCATTGCAGCCATCTGTCATAACATCTTCCTAGCATGTTATTGCCCTACCAGACTTGTGAGCCCTTTGAAGATAGTAACCCTTTTATATGTTTTATATACCATCTGTCACACTGCTTAACAACGCATTTTGCACACAGCAGAAGATCAAGCATATGTTGAATCAAATTAACTGAACTGAGGTCACTCAACTAGTAGACTAGAATTTAGGTCTCCTGACCACCTCGTCTAATGACCATTGTGGGTGTGTGCAGGGACCTGAAGAGTTAATCATACGCCACACATGTTTCTTGAAACCTAGTGTTTTCCTTCCACCTAGTGTTTTCCTTCCTTTGAAATAGTTGGGAGTCCGTGTACAGTGGTCGATGGGAAGGAGGAGAGAACTGGAATCCGAAATGGATGTGGTAGTGGAGGAAAGAAGATGCTGTTTATATAAAATGCACATGTTCTCTTTCTGGGACCCAAATCCAGGAGGACGAGGCTGGTATAGACGGTGTGGGAAAGAGCTACTTAGGAATCTGGTTTTATTTGAACAGCAGGGGGCAGCAGGCGGTAGTGCTTCCTCCCAGATGGGAAACGAGAACCACACAAGCTGGTCCATCAGCAACTTAGTTTCTTCCTTCTGGAGAGAATTCCAATTGTTTTCTTGATTTTTCTTCAAAACGGGAGGGCAGTGA